TTCCGATTCATATGTATAAAATAAGCTAGAAAGGGAGCACAACATGGGGACGCCTACTTCTTGCCTATATGTCTTACCCTCAAATGTTACGTAGATGTTATCAATGAGTAAGTTCAGCATTTCATATATTATTTTCTCAGGATACTGCACATGACATTTGCTTTAAGTTTTGACAAATTGACCTGAACATCTGAAGATAGATATGCAACTGTATCTATGGTCACCACGTTTTGTAACAAAAGCCCCACTGATCTTGGAATGAAGCTTTTCCCTGATCATGAGTTTGACATGTAGGATAGCATTTGTACAGTTGAAAAATCCATTGCTTTGACATAATTGAACTTGGTTCTTTTCTTAGATTTTAAAAAGCCAAGCAAATCCAAAAGGTTTTTGAGAATCCTAATGATATTAAATCCACTTTACTCAAATACTTTCTGTGATTATGAAGAATGTATTTGTTTTTTTGTATCAAGGATTATAGTTAGTCTTTGAAACTTTGGATTTGTTGGACCAAACAATATATATATCTTTGTACGGGTTTTTATGGCGTTTTGGAATCCAGCACAAAAGGGGAATGGACATGTCTTCAGGTTGTAGAATCAAGCCAAAAGTTGATACTGCTTATTCATGGTTGGGGCATTTTTCTCCCTCAGTGACAATACTTGCCTTATGTGTGACATTATTTGATATGTCACTCCTACCAAGTTCTTTGGTCAAACAGTTACTGTTGTGATGCTATTCTGAGGCCTTGTCTGTAGGAATAACCAATAAATTCCAGGTGATACCAGGTGTTCGCCAAAAGGTTAGTGTATCCAGCCCCACCGGTGCCACCCGTCATAAACACATGCAAAGGCCAGTCAATTGTTCACCCGAAAAAATATGGGAACATTTGGTACAAGTCAAATGGGGAATTGCATCGGACATAATTTTTTGTCACTGATTGTCAAATTTATCTACTATAAAACGTTTTGAAAGCTTTACTGAGGCCTTGAATGTTGTAACCTTCATCAAACAACTTCTGAGCAAGAGTCGTAGGACGCTCTTTGAAATCTTAGTAGGCAGAGCATGCTCGATTGTATCTCAAAAGTTGCGAAAAGTTGGAACTGCTGGAATATTGCTCGACATGAAGTTGACTATTGGAAAGTTCAACCATGAAAAGTAAACATTCAGGTGTTACAAACAATAGTATTGAAAGCAACAAGACCTATTGTGTGTGTGAGTGTGTGCGTGTGTGTGTGTGTGGGGGGGGGGGGGGGGGTGGGGGGGGGGGGGGGACAGCTTAAAAGTTTCATACTTACCTATTACCTATTTTGTGTGTGTGAGTGTGTGCGCGAGTGTATGTGCGTGAGTGTGCTAGTGTGTGCGTGAGTGTGTGTCAACAGCTTAAAAGTTTCATACTTGCCCATTACCTATTTTGAGTGTGTGTTAGTGAGTGTGCGCGAGTGTGTGTGTGTGCGTGTTAGTGTGTGTGCGTGTGTGTGTCAACAGCTTAAAAGTTTCATACTTGCCTATTACCTATTGTGTGTGTGTTAGTGAGTGTGTGTGTGCGTGAATCTCTGTCCGTGTGTTTGTATGCGTGTGTATGTCTGTGTGTGAGTGTATGTGTTTGTGTGCATGAATGTGTGTCTATGTGTGAGTGTGTCTGTGTGGTGTGTGTGAGTGTGTATGTGTGTGTGTGTGTTTGTGTGCGTGAGTGTGTGTGTGTGCGTGAGTGAGTGAGTGTGTGTGTGCGCGCGTGTGGGTATGTCTTTGTGTGAGTGTGTTTTTGTGTACGTGTGTGTGTCTGTGTGTGCACAACAACTTATTAACTTATTACTCTGTGATATATATCTGTTAGGTATTGTAATAATCATGTTTTTGTTTATTTCGCTGCTGAGATTCATATTTTATCTTATCATTGATCCTGGTTCCGATTGTCCTATACGTCTTGAATTTAACTAATTGCGTCATGAAGTATCATTCACTTACTCATTCGACCCGTGAAGATTCCAGGGTAGAATGGGTCTTCAGCAACCCCTGCTTGCCGTGAAAGGCGACTATGATTGTCGTAAAAGGCGACTAACGGGATCGGGTGGTCAGCCTCGCTGACTTGGTTGATGCATGTCATCGCTCCCAATTGCGTGGATCGATGCTCATGATATTAATCACTGGATTGTCTAGTCCAGACTCGATTATTTACAGACCGCTGCCATATAGCTGGAATATTGCTGAGTGCGACGTTAAACAACAAACAAACAAAACAAAAACTTATTCATTCGCAAATGCAATATTGAGGCCAATCAGGAAGGAGATAAACATTATCTTTTGTCAGAATATAATGTTGGACGACTGGAAGTGTCACGTGGAACCGTGAGGATTCGCCAAACTGTAATTGGAGAGCTGTGGTATAAATTTGCTAAACATGATTTCAGTTATATAAGTGTTTATCAGATTAAATCGGAAAGTGACACAAGTAAGGCCCAGGAATCCGTTGATTAGATTCTAATCGATGCGGATCCTGACACGGCTACGGGGGGCAATCGCAAAGTAAAAAAATGTGTTTAGAAGGTTAACACTTGCAAGATATGTTTAGATCTAAGATGTGTTTAAATCCTAAACGGAATACACATTTGGTGTGTTTTATCGGGGTCTAAACCATGATACTTGCTATCGTCTTAGAATCTTCACACCTGAACCCATCATCCCCATACTAAGGTTTGTGTTGTCTGAACACATTTGTAACACATGTTGAAACTGTCCACAGCCGTGCAATCTACAGCATGGTTTTTCCCAAGATTATATGCAGTGCACCTTTGTTACAGTTGCATGTTGCATGCGTCGATTTTACTGTTCAAATGAATCTTCTTTGAAAACCGTCCTGACGGGTTCGTGCTTACTTGTTTCCTCGTGAGTGGATTTCGGGGCAGAAGGTTTTTATTCTTATTGAATTTAATTCAGACGTTGTAGTAGTTGGTGAAACGATCTCCTTCACGTTGCCGCTGTTCATACATTTTGGAGGGGCACGAGTGGCCCAGTCGTCTAAGGCGCCCCTTGCGTCCCTTGGGCACGCCAGAAACCTATGATTGTGGGTTCGAATCCCGGTTCGCCCCGATTATGTTTCTAGGTTTGTCAGCACCATACCCGTGCTCGTGGCTTTCACCGAAGTGGTAAACGTCTGAGACCTGCATCACTTCGGGCTTTCCTCCCACATTAAGCTGACACGCCGTGATATAACTGGAATAATGTTTAAAGCGGCATTAAATCCAACTCACTCACACACTCACTCACTCACTTTGTAATCAATATGGCGAAGTGGATAACAGCTGATATACTACTCCTGGCATGTATTTCTTTCAGTGGTAGGTTGAACGCACAAGTTAGATATCTTTCTTTACAGCTTGAATATTTCACATAATATATTGTTCTGGCATTTGTAGCTGAAACATGTGTCCAACATTTTGGAGATTAATGGAACAGCAAAGTATATAGGAATGTACGTGTTGCATTTATTTAGGGGATCACAAATTTGTAGTTTGAATACTGTGCATATATATAGTTCTGTCCCTTGGGCACACCAGAAGGGGTCCCGCCGATAACAGTTCTAGGTTTGTCAGCGCCATACCCCTGCTCTTGAGTTTCACCAATGTCTGAGATCTGCATCACTTCAGGCTTTACTCCCACGTAAGGCTGACTGGAAACACTGTTCGAAGCGGTCTTAAACCCTTCTCACTCACTCACCCTTACACGGACTACACGGTGCTAAAGATCCGTTGACCATCCAACCATAATAGCAAGCTGCTTATCTACTTGACCACTCTCAAACCATTTTATACCTTTGTGAGTGACATGCAGTATGCTCGTAGATATCCCCATTTTAACATCAAAATAAGTGTTAGAATTAATAGATCAAACAGTGCTTGATCTTTCAGAACAAATCTGCAAAATGTGTGATTTTGATCATAAATGTTTTTGTTTTTTTTAAAATACACCAAATTTTAATTATAACATCTACAATTTATGTGTGAACATTGTTTGTAATATTTAGGAATAAATAGATTATTGTAATTTGTCTTCAACCCTGCATCTCACGCATCATCCTGTCAAAGGGGCGGTCGGGTAGCCTAGTGGTTAAAGCGTTCGCTCGTCACGCCGCAGACCCGGGTTCAATTCCCGACATGGGTACAATGTGTGAAGCCCATTTGTGGTGTCCCCCACCCTGATATTGCTGGAATATTGCTAAAAACGTCGTAAAACCATACTCACTCACTCACTCCTATCAAAAATCTTCATCATCTGATTTGTGCTTCATTAAAACATACTACATTATTGTAACACAATGAACAAACCAATAGAAACAATCATAGACATCAGAGTTACTTTAGGCAAGTCCCTTAGATCTCTCTCCCATCTCTTTAACCTCTTCAGATAGAGTGAGTGAGTGAGTATGGTTTAACGCCGCTTTTAGCAATATTCCAGCAATATCACGGCGGGGGACACCAGAAATGGGCTTCACACATTGTACCCATGTCGGGAATCGAACCCGGCTCTTCGGCGTGACGAGCGAACGCTTTAACCACTAGGCTACCCGACCGCCCCTCTTCAGATAGACGTCAGATAAGCGACCGCGGGCGACGGACGGACAATTGCGAAATATTTCCCTGGGTCATTGTGAACTGAAAGTTCATCACAAAAGTCCAAGAAAAAAATATAACAAGGAATAATGTGGTAAGTGATCCGTTCTCATTTGAAAACAAATTAGTTGTGTGCAAAATACAAACACGGAAAACATTTTCAAATAAAAAAATGAATTATATAAAACAACAACTCAGAGTTACAAGTTTTCATCTTGGTGTCTCGGAGACCCTTATGTCATGAATCCACAAAGTCATTAATGTCCAAAACCAGCCGCGTTTGTGAAAACAAATAGGCTCATGAGGCAGATATATTATCTTGTGAAGTGTACTGTGCACGCTTATATAGAGCTTAACGAAAGAATCAGTGGGATGATAAACCTCCTGGTTGAAGCGTCTTCTACATGAATCACTTGTCACCCTGTTGTGTAGGCTGCATGCTGTCGACCCGGAAGTTAAATACTCCAGTAGAGATAAAGAGTCCCTGGTTGGCGAACGGAGGTTCGAATATACTCGGAGTTCTGGATGGGACATGTCAGGATAATATAATCCATATGTACAACGTAGTGTGAGATCTAGTGTTCCCTTGTGTCACACAAAGTTCATGATGGAGAAGAGGATCGGGACTCACTTGGTGTTTCTAGCTGCGTTGATTGTCAGTGGTAAGTGTCTTGTTTATGCACCTCACATGACATGTTTTTGTCGTTGTTGTTTTGGTATGACGCCGCACTCAGTAATATTCCAGTCATATGACGGCGGTCTGTGAATAATCGAGTCTGGGCCAGACAATCCAGTTATTGACATCAAGTCTTTGAAAGGCGTTTAGAAGCGATACACATAAGGAAGAGCATTCATTGATATCAACTTATGTGCTAATTACCCCCGGCCTCCCATTTGCCCATGGTCCATTGCCTATTACCAATCAGTGATAATTTAAGTCCTGGCTTCCAGTTGACTATAACTATCAGCGCTAATTACTGTAAAGTGCTAGCTTCCATTGACTATTGCTAATCACCTATCAAAGCCAATTATATGTTGGCTTCCCTTGTTTAGTTTCCACCTTTTGTTATCTTATTACTTTTGTTGTTCTTACATGTACATACTTGCTCTCTGCCTCATAGCATTCATTCACCTGGTGAAGGAGTTCACATATACTCCGAAGCGTTGTGTTCAACATAATAAAGAAGTTGACATTCATAAATTCTCTTCCATACAGACGGTTACACACAAACAAATACTTTCATTGTTTTCTTTGAATGAATGGCCTCTTAAATGCCGTTTAATGTATATGTGTGCATTGCTTGGCCTTATAACTACGATAAAAAGCACAACGTCGGGCGAAAAACAACAACGAGAAAGCGTCTATTAGGATCTTCATGATTTATTTTGTTTTTTCCTTTCTGGAGTGGAGAGAGGTAATATCTTATTTCATCTTACCAAGCATCATGGTGAGGTTATGTATGTCGCGATAGGGATATACTAGTTCACAATACCACGTTATCAGCTCAAGTTTTGACACACTCAATCACGAATGCAGCCAGACATCCCGTTATCCCGTTATCTACCAGGACGCTGCACAGTGAAAAAAAGAAATTATAAATTACGCCGTAAGCCGTCCGACCTTGCAGCAAGGGCCACTTCTCGCGTATCAGTGGGAGTTATACGGCGTCATCTGTCACGATTAAGTGTCACTTTGTATTCGGGGGCACGGGTGGCCCAGTCGTCTGAGGCGCCGCGATTCGCTGTGCAGAGTTGCGTCCCTGGGCACGCAAGAAACCTATGATTGTGGGTTCGAATCCCGGTTCACCCCGATTATGTTTCTAGGTTTGTCAGCACCATACCCGTGCTCGTGGCTTTCATCGACGTGGTAAACGTCTCAGATCTGCATCACTTCGGGCTTTCCTCCCACATTAAGCTGACACGCCGTGATATGACAGGAATAATGTTAAAAAGCGGCATTAAACCCAACTCACTCACTCACTTACTTTGTATTCAATATAGCGAAGTGGATAACATCTGATATACTACTCCTGGCATGTACTTCTTTCAGTGGTAGGTTGAACGCACAAGTTAGATATCTTTCTTTACAGCTTGAATATTTCACATAATATATTGCTCTGGCATTTGTAGCTGAAACATGTGTCCAACATGTTAAATGACAGAACAATTTTGTTTAATATTGCCAAATCATCTTAAAGTTTCAGTGTTTGGCCAGACAATCCGATTGGTGTCCCCTCTGAACAACGGTGTTGGGAGAATTGAGGTGTTCTATAACGGCACATGGGGCACTGTTTGTGACGATGACTTTGGGGTAGATGAAGCCAAGGTGGCCTGCAGACAACTGGGACGATAGTAAGACACCCTGTGTACAGCAGACCTGGCATATTTACAGGACGCCCTCGTATACCCGGAATATTGATGTTAAACAAGTATTAAACGAAACAAACAAAACTAATGAGAAATATTTCCGACTTCGTAAAGTAAAAGCAATGATGCAATAACAAACGTATGCTTATGTTTGCACATTAATGTGAAGGTACTAATACGATGTTCTGAGATATGCGAGGGCAAACGTAAACAACCCTAACATATAAAACTACTTCCATGATATACAGAGGTAGATGTGGTAGACGTGACAATAGTAGGACACCATGTCATAATCGTAGTTGTATGATGTACGGAGGTAGGTTTGGTAGATGTGACAATAATAAGGCAACATGTCATAATCGTTGTTGTATGATGTACGGAGGTAGGTTTGGTAGATGTGACAATAATAAGGCAACATGTCATAATCGTTGTTGTATGATGTACGGAGGTAGGTTTGGTAGATGTGACAATAGTAAGGCAACATGTCATAATCGTTGTTGTATGATGTACTGAGGTAGGTTTGGTATCATTATGTTGTGCAGCTATAATTAAATTAAACCTTTTTGTGTTTTTAGTAAAAGCGGACTTATACCAAGGGCAATTGGATCTTTTGGTTTTGGAGGAGGAAAGATTTGGTTGGATGACATGAGTTGCTCCGGTACCGAGTCATCTTTGGCCAGCTGTTCACACAGACCATGGGGAGTCAACAATTGTGGTCACAGTGAAGATGTTGGCATCATATGTGATCCAAGTGAGTTATCACCTAAACATACATTAACTTGAATATCAGCAGCATTGTTTATCATTCATGTAATAGAATCAATTTACCCTCACTGTTTATATCAGAAGAAAAGGAAACTGGAACACGCTGGTGAAAAAATCCATTCGTCCCAAAACGTGGCCAATACTCAACAAGAGAGGGCGCTGCAATTCTCTATGCAGAGATGCGTCCCTAGCATGCCAGAAATCTACGATCTCTGGTTCGAATCCCGTTCTGATAATGTACAAGCCGCCTGACCTCTCCTCATTTATTAGTTATTGTTATACAACACTAAACCGTCACCAATAACCATCAATGAATGTGTGCTACTTTGTATCTTGTACGGCGAAATGGATACCAGCGTATGTAATAGACCAGGTGTGCAGTGGTAGGTTGAAGGTGAAAATAGATATCCTTCTTTGCAGCCTGGATACTTAACATAATTTTACATGTTCGATATAAATTAAACGCGACACCACTCAACAAGACTCTGTGACAGAACGTCGACGTTCGTAAGATCCTACACTCTATTCGAGACTGTGCTTGAGTTTGAAGTCTGATCAGACAACAGTTCATATTAGCAATTTAATGTGCATGCTGTTAACGTTAACAACTGGCGGTTCAAAACTACCAAGACCGCCTCCGTGGTCTAGTGGTAGAGCGTCCGCCCGGAGAGCGGAAGGTCCGGGGTTCGATCCCCTGCCGCGTCATACAAAAAGACGTTAAAAGATGGTACTAGTTGTTACCCTGTCTGGCGCTCGGCATTTAGGGGCTAAAACAAGGACTGGTCGGCTCGGAGTCAGTATACTGTGTCTGAGTGGGGCATTCATGTTAAACTGCGGCATGGTATCTCAGTGGGTTAGCACTATAAATCTGCATCAGTCCGGACTAGTACAAGCAGCCACACAAACACACACACGTACATGCACGTCGCTATATAAGTGCAATAATCTTGAACGCGACGTTAAACCCCATTTCACCTCACCTCAAAACTACCAACTTATTGAGTTCGGCCTAAGCATTTGTCTATATGTAAAAGAAAATACAGCAACAAATCCTTAAGCTATGGGCACATAGTAGAGTATCAGTGTCAGTGTTTGTGTTTGACTGCATGCATGGGATGATCCATATGTATTGTTTTCATTTTCCTTGTCCCATACCTACTCACAATAAAACTTTCGACTCGGTCTATTGACAGAACTACGTATGGTTAAAATGGTCAAAAAGGTAAATATGGTGACAGGTATCTTTACCATTATACATTACGTATGTGTACGACAAATGATATTGATTTTCATCACTACAATTGCAAGAGAACAGTTTACGTTACATTGTTTTACTAGGTGACATAACGATGAAGCTGACACCGAGCTACCACCAAGGACTCCTGCAGGTGTACCACTCCGGTAGATGGGGCACAGTGTGTGATGATGGCTTTGGACAAGTAGAAGCATCAGTAGTGTGCAGGGCTCTTGGGTACCAGTAAGTTGTAGTTCAATTTTTTACCCCAAAACATGTAATGTGTTATAATGACGTATCTATCTTTGAATCACATCAAGAGTGAGGTACAGATTTGGAATTGGACATTTTGAATTCAGCATGAATATCATATCTATTTAAGAGATCTTCAATAGCCCAATCAAAGAAGAAACATAGAACACTTTTATTCGTGTACTGATAAGACTTCGCATTATGATGAATAAAATGTGACAGTTTGTGTTGTTAAGGCTAAACGCTAAATAATATTACTGGGTAAATGGATGACACAGTCGCCTAATATCCCTCCCTTAGGCACACCAGAATCATATGTTACAAAAAAGGTATTCGAAGCTACAAAGTCTGTCAGTACTCTACCCGCGCTCGTGGAATTCACAAAAATGGCAAACGTCTACGATATGCACTTCTGACTATTTTTAAACATCAAGTTGACACGTCATGATATGATTGAAATGAGGTTCAAAGCGGCGTTCGGGCAAACTCACTCAGTGACACTCCTACTATAACATATGCATGTTTGATTTTTGCAAAGGTGTCACTTCTCCCTATCTTTGCAGAGGAGGAAAGGCCATCGTTGTTCCAGACAGTTCCATAACAATGTGGTTGGATGACGTGCAGTGCACGATGCGGAACACAGATCTGAAAGACTGCAATCACAGACCATGGGGGAGTGATGACTGTAGCGACTCTGAAGCTGTTGGTGTCCAGTGTTTTTCATTTCCTGAAGGTATACTTTGGATAATTGCTCGTGATACTGATCGTTGGATTGCCGGTCCAGGATCAATTCTTTACAGACCACAGATTGCCGGATGGGGCGTTAGGCAAACAAACACCTATTTTTGTGACAATTGTGGCAGCTGCTAGTGGCAAAACAAGACATACATACCCTTTTCGGGAACACCTGGTGTCATCACTGATTTTTAGTGATCCATCTATATACTTTACATAACTATTTTGTCTTTTACGCCCAATGGTATCTCTCTTGACAACTAGGTTGCGTTGACATTTTGAATTGTAATCTCATGGTCTTTATTTACTGGTTCCATGTGATGTCTTCCTTGCCTAGCAAAGACGAGACTTGAGTGACATTTCATGAAACAGATGTGTTGTTACCCGTCTATCAAATTCCTTGTGGTGGGCGCCACTGGTGTGGCAGGACACGCTCACCTTTTCGCCAAAAGTTGGTATCACATGCTTATGAGGTAGTTCGAGTCGTACAATGTACAAAAGACTTTGTTTTCAGTTCATAACTACTCATTTATCCAAATAACGTTAGCGTGATGTCTTCGTCAGATTCTACAGCAGCAAGACTTGTCTCCACCACCAACACGCCAGGGGAGGGAGTGCTGGAGCTGTACCATGGTGGACAATGGGGAAGAGTCTGCTATACTGGGTTCGGAGTGGAAGAGGCAACAGTTGTCTGTAGAATGTTGGGACACAGCATGTAAAAACATGGCATAATATTGTGTTATTATCAAGAATAGCTGGATTACGAAAAACTTGATAAACATTTGACTCACATTTGACCATTTTTTCAATGATCTTAACTATTGTTTTAAAACAATTTGACACCTTCTTCTTGATATTCAGTATTGGGGCCCTCGCCCCACATCTAATGTTATTATACTTTTTAGTGAAAATGAACAATGGGTTTCAGGTACTATTCTATTACGAAAAACTAGATAAATATTTGACACACATTTGACCATTTTTTCAATGATCTTAACTATTGTTTTAAAACAATTTGACACATTCTTCTTGATATTTAGTATTGGGGCCCTCGCCAGCTCACATTTAAACACCGGCAGTTCATCACAGCATGTCATCCTAGATAAGGTCCAGTGTCTTGGGACAGAGCTCTCTCTCAATGAATGTCTTCACTATCCATGGGGTAGTGTTACCTGTTCCTCAACAGTAGTCGGAATACAGTGTCCCTCTGGTAAGTTGTGTTCTGTGACAACTGTAATACAGCTGCAGACGATGCAATAACACAACCTTTTCTACCTTCGTTTGCCTTGTTGCATTCTTTGTTCCAGCTGATCTTCAAATACGCTTGAATTCGACAACTCGTGGACGGGGTCGGGTAGAAGTACTTCACAACAATGTCTGGGGAACAGTTTGTAGAGGGTCGTCGTTTTCCTCACAGGAGGCACAAGTTGTGTGTAAAATGGCAAATCTGCCCTGGTGAGTACATCTGTGCACGACTATTCACCTTCGTGCAGGGCGAGACTCGTGTCAGTATTGTTACTTACCTGGAACATTTAGAGTGAGTGAGTGAGTGAGTGAGTGAGTTGGGTTTAACGCCGCTTTTAACAATATTCCAGTTATATCACGGCGTGTCAGCTTGATGTGGGAGGAAAGCCCGAAGTGATGCAGGTCTCAGACGTTTACCACTTTGGTGAAACCCACGAGCAAGGGTATGGTGCTGACAAACCTAGAAACATAATCGTGGTGAACCGGGATTCGAACCCACAATCATAGATTTCTGGCGTGTCCAGGAAACGCAACTCTGCACAGCGAATCGCGGCGCCTTAGACGACTGGGCCACCCGTGCCCCCTGGAACATTGAGAAACCTCAAGTATATTCAGTACATGAGTCTCATAAAGTCTACTTATTCATACTCCTGTAGTAATGAATGGTCAGATAGAGTTTGGTATCAGAAGCCTTTCTCAGCGACATAAACTTTATATGCCAAGTGTCACGGTCACTTTAATTTGCATTCCCTTGTTATTTCAGAGAGAACTGTCTGTTTGAAACTTACAAAATAAGGTTCTTGCATGTGCTTGTCAATGACTATTCACCTTCGTTTAGAGGTTTCAGAAACTAGTATCCGTTTGAGACTGACAAAAAAGTTCCTGCATGTGATTTTTAACGCTTGAATTTAGAAGTCCCTTTCTGTATTAGAAATACATGTACGTTGGACATATGAATTGTTTGATAGTTATTTCTTGGAAGTTGACGGATGACAAAGACTCAACCTTTTGATAACAAATGTCTGTATAGATCCTTATACCGTTGGCAGCATAAGTAAAATGAAAGTGACGAATTGGCAAGGAAGTCATGTGTATGGTTTTCTGTGTCTAGGACGACCGCCTATGTGACTACATCTTCTGGGCCAGGTGAAGGAATTATTTGGCTGAGTAACGTCGACTGTACGGGAACCGAGACCTCCCTGTATCATTGTTCCCACTCTGGATGGGGAACCGCGCCGAGCTGTTCTCACAGTAGTGATGTGGGCGTGGTGTGCCGTGGAGGTGGGTCAGAGACGTAGTAATGTTAGCATGTTATGTCGTGGGAGTGGATCAAAGACGTAGTAATGTTAGCATGTTATGTCATGGGGGTGGGTCAGAAACGTAGTAATGTTAGCAAGATATGTCGTGGAGGTGGGTCAGAGACATAGTGATGTTAGCGTGTTATGTTGTGGTTGGGTCAGAAACGTAGTAATGTTAGCATGTTATGTCGTGGGAGTGGATCAAAGACGTAGTAATGTTAGCATGTTATGTCATGGGGGTGGGTCAGAAACGTAGTAATGTTAGCAAGATATGTCGTGGAGGTGGGTCAGAGACATAGTGATGTTAGCGTGTTATGTTGTGGTTGGGTCAGAAACGTAGAAATGTAAGCGTGTTATGTCGTGGGGGTGGGTCAGAGACGTAGTAATGTTAGCGTGTTATGTCGTGGGGGTGGGTCAGAGACTTAGTGTTTGACACAGTAGTCACGTGGATGGTATGTCGTGGAGGTGTGTTTGATACACTAGTGATGTGGATGGTACGTCCTGGAGGTCTGTTTGACACAGTAGTGGTGTGGATGGTATGTCGTGGAGGTGTGTTTGATACACTAGTGATGTGGATGGTACGTCCTGGAGGTCTGTTTGACACAGTAGTGGTGTGGATGGTATGTCGTGGAGGTGTGTTTGATACACTAGTGATGTGGATGGTACGTCCTGGAGGTCTGTTTGACACAGTAGTGGTGTGGATGGTATGTCGTGGAGGTGTGTTTGATACACTAGTGATGTGGATGGTACGTCCTGGAGGTCTGTTTGACACAGTACTGGTGTGGATGGTATGTCGTGGAGGTCTGTTTGACACAGTAGTGGTGTGGATGGTATGTCGTGGAGGCGTGTTTAATTCGGTAGCGAAGTGGATGATATGTCGTGGAGGTTTGTTCGATACTGTAGTGATGTGGATGGTATGTCGTGGATGTGTGTTTGATACTGTATGATGGGAATGGTATGTCGTGGAGGTGTGTTTGACACAGTAATGAAGTGGATGGTATGTCGTGGAGGTGTGTTTGATACTGTAGTGATGTGGATGGTATGTTGTGGAGGTGTGTTTGATACTGTATGATGGGAATGGTATGTCGTGGAGGTGTGTTTGACACAGTAATGAAGTGGATGGTATGTCGTGGAGGTGTGTTTGATACTGTAGTGATGTTTTGGAGGTGTTTATAAAAAAGATGCAGTAGTGATGTGGATTGGTATGTCGTAGAAGTGTTTTTTACACAGTACTTATGTGGAATGGTATGTCGTGGAGTTATGTTTGCATATTGTACATTGGCCACATCTTTCAGCAACCCTGAATATCCACCTTGAGCCGACGGGAACTGTCCTCAGCGTCATCATTGGTCAGGTGGTCAGTGTCAAGTGTGTGATCGGTTACTCCAACTCCCCGGTCACTTCGTTCAAATGGGCACACAGGGGACAATCATACAGTGGGCAAACCTTCAGTAAAACAATAACTTCCAAAGCTGACTCTGGCAGTTTAACATGCAGTGTACAGACTGAGAGCGCCTCCACTCGACTCAATGTTCTGTGTAAGTGATTCAGATCAAGAATATTATTGCAACCACCAGGTGAACAAAAGGTTGTAATTTACGTGAATGAAAAGAAAATCCTTTAATCGCTCATTTTCAAAATTATGAAAGGTTTTAGTGGGTATATTAAAAAAACAACAGATGTGAAATGAGGTGTAACGTGACGTCCAAGATTATTGCATTTATATAGTGACGTGCATGCACCTCTGTGTGTGTGTGTGTGTGTGTGTGTGTGTGTGTGAGAGAGAGTTCTTGTGCTATTCTGGACTGATGCCAATTTATAGTGCTAGCACACTGAGATACCATGCTGCAGTTTTATTTCAGTTAAATCATGTCGTGTCATCTGGTCTTAGACGGTTACCTTTTTCAGTTAAACCCATGATCACGGCCATGGTGCTGACAAAGCTGCAAGCATATCAGGTCGAACCGAGATTCGAACAAACGATTACAGCCGCGAGTTGAGGTGAAATGGGGTTTAACGTCGCGTCCAGGATTATTGCACTAAAAAAGCGACGTGCATGCACGTGTGTGTGTTTGTGTGTGTGTGACTGATTGTACTAGTCCGGACTGATGCCTATTTATAGTACTAGCCAACTGAGGTACCATGTCGCAGTTTAACATGAATATCCCACTCAGACACAGTATACTGACTCCGAGCCGACCAGTCCTTGTTTTAGCCCCTTAGAGTCGAACGCCAGACAGGGTAACAACAAGTGACATCTTTTAAAGTCTTTTGGTATGACGTAGCTTGGGATCGAACCCCGGACCTTTCGCTCTCAGGGCGGACGCTCTACCACTAGAGCACGCAGGATGTCTTTCTATAACAAACGTAACAATGGTGACAATCTGGTTTCAGTGGGTTTTTTGTTATAAAGTAGTAGGTAACACAAACGGTGTATGGATATGTAACAAACCCTTTGCTTCATGCGAGAGGATACACTTAGCTATCAGTTTGTCCGAGTGTACTTCGGGGAGGATGAGGTTGTGGTAGTGCGGAATGTTCAGATGCCTCTCTTTTTACCACTAATGTTATGGAGTTTTCCAGCGGTATTGTATCATATAGAATGATATAACTAATCTCTGGATTTATCCTAAACATCTTCAGACCCGCCAGTGGTACATCTGGAACCAAGAAATGACACCCTGGATGTCGGTGTCGGCGAAGACCTTAGTGTACGGTGTGTTGCGGATGACGCCAACCCTGGTGTCCACACATTCCAGTGGTCTCACAACGGTCAAACGAGTACTGGGTCGACATTCCTCAAACGTAAAATATCCAAGTCTGACCAAGGGCAACTGACCTGTACTGCTGATAATGGACACATGATGACACCTGGACGGGCAGTTGCAACTGTAAACGTCAGATGTAAGCTATGTCAAAACCCTATTACATCCATCCTTATAACTTGCTACAAACATGTGTTTATGTGCCATGTTATTTTATATAGTTATAGTTATGAAAAATACTTTTGAGTAATTATGCTGTTTAAAAATGATTTTTTAAAACTGAAAACGTTCTCTCAGAATTATGTGAATTGAGATTTTTAAACATGTACTTTTTTATTATATCTGACATAAGATCCACCAGAGATTCATCTGTCACCAAGGCAAGGTGTCATCAGTGTCATTGCTGGTGATGCCGTTGAAGTCGAATGTGTCGTCGACGACGCCAACCCTGCTGTCACCTCGTACACGTGGTGTCACAACGACAATATCAGTCATGGACAGACTTTTATGAAGCATGTGTCTTCTGATGATGCGGGAAACCTATCGTGCTCCGCTACGAATGAACAGGGAACATCTACTGTAGAAACAAGGATCAATGTCTGTAAGTAATCCTTTTGTCAGCCTGAACGTTGTGGAACGCACATTTCAGGAATGTTTTACTTGATGGTTAGCAAAATCGGGTACAGTATAATTTCTATAGGTATCATCGCTATCCAAGACACATGCATTTGTATATTTGGAAGTGCAATTACAACCCTTCATTTTGATAACCTGTTCTGTCACAGTGCAAGTTTCCGCGGAGATCGGGAGTGATGACACTACATGCCAGGATAAACCGATTGCCATAGTAATAGGATCTGTTGGCATAGTTACCATTATCATCCTTCTCATCATCATTATACACCTGAGGAGGAGACTGCGTGCTGCAAAACGTACGTGCATTTGTGGTATAACTTGACTGCATCAATGACATTTGATATGCACACACAATAAACTACACAATCGTTTCACCATTTAACATTTATTTTAACAATTCTATGCACATATCACAAGTTCTAGTAATTGCTGTTGAATGAAAATAGTATTGAACAAGTCATGTTCTGAAAATAACATTCTTCGACAACTGATTTGTTTTTCATTTTTTATCATTTCTAGCTGAGCATGAGCCAAAGAGGTAAGTGTGTTGTATTATTGTCTCACGTTCGTTCAGGTTATTTGACAGAGACCTGAATTCTATAACTTGTGATGGTTGTCAAGGTGTCCTCAGGATTTTCGTGGAGCAAACTTAGCCTCACTGCTTTTCTAATCCTCAAAAGTAAATGTATTGTACAGTCAAGTCTCGTTAATCCGACATCGTTGGTTGCACATGATTGAGTCGGATTAACGAGTATGTAGGATTAACGAAATTAAGTGATTTGTGATCGAAAATCGGACATCTTCACGAGAGATAATAACCGTGTGTTTCCTCGTGTAAATGCAAGTGCTACTGTCTTAACAACTTGCTTCATCTACTTAAAATAGTCTGTCAGTGTTTTCTGTTTCTCACATTTTGAAGGCACATTTCTCAAAGTCCCCTGTTCGCTTGACGTCTAGGGCTGGTGGTTCTTCAGCATCAACATTGTCGAGGTGTAATTTCATTTGTTTCTTATAATAAAGCTTGAAATTCTTTATGATCCCGGCATCTAGTGTTAATTGTTAAAGTTAATCTCTGCAGCCAGTGCGTGTCAAAACACGGGGTTCTGTACTCGCGGGCAGATGACCACGGAGTACGCTGACCACTGTGTCGGATTAACGAGACTTGACTGTATTATAATGTTATACACAAGACATCTAAACATGTTTAATGTATAGTATCCTCCTGAAAGACGACATCTACATGTACATGAACCACACTAGCATTTTTGCTCTATATCTATAACTCTTTGTCTAAGGACGGTTATGAACCTCACTGCACGTTAATTTGTCAGAGTACATCCGAAGAGCTCTGCGTTTAAAGCTGCTAACATATGCTGTACTATGGAGCACAGATCATAGTATATTGATTTCGTAATTGTGCATCTATCTTAGAACTGAGCAGACGTCAAGGGCAGATGAAATACCTGCAAGAGGCCGCAATTACGAGAGCATGGAAACGCCCAGTGAAGGTACAAACACCAATATTATATAGATTATATACTGAATGGTACGAACACCTTAGTTGTAATGTGAGCTGTTATAATGGCTATACACTGGAAAAAGAACACCGCGGTAATTTCGAAGGGGAGGGTACTTATGTAAAGACGAGTATATGCAGTTGAAACTATTTTGAAACAACGTTTTCAGTTTCAATTAAATAAGCGCTAGCTTATCAGTGGATGTTCTGGACAATATGACGGTCAAGTATAGAATGCCTGTAGGTCGCCCTCGAGAAACAGCAGCAGTACAGCTGTGCAGCGTAAGGCAAAAAACACTTACTTTTTTATGCAAATTGTGTGAGTGGCGGGGGCTACCGCTGCAACCACATATCGGTAAGATGGTACTTGTTTTTAGACAGAACAATATGTCAAGCCTGGGAAGTTCAGAAAGATGGAAATTACCGTATTCGACGTAATAACCGCCCCGATCTAATAAGCGTCCACGGCGATATTTGATAATATATTGGCTAGTAAACAATCCCATTTAGCACCCCTTCCGAATGATCAATGTACACAAGGCTTATTTATTTGAGTATAATAGGCACTCGTGTGTTGTATTCATTCTTCATTATGGGCAATTAAACTTTGGAAAAAATATATCTGTCGCATATGAACATTTCAGTCTGTCAGCATAAACCACGAAATTTATCTTTCTACTCTGTTTTTTTCCACCAAAATGATATTCTATTTCTAATTTTGAGAGCGCCCTGGACGCTTATTACATCGAATACGGTAATGCATTATGTTAGGTATTTTGTCTATATGGTGACGACTCTATCTTTCACACAGAAAAATGAGAAGAGTTTGATTTATATTCCAGGTGCTGAGCATAGCTATTGCGAGATTGACTTGACACAAAAATCAGGTAACAGGCAAATATTTAGCTATCGAGCATAAATACAGAAGATGCTGTTGATAAATTCACCATAACATTTCATTGTAGAAACGAAAGAGTACGGTGCCATACGCAATGGTAAAAATATGATAATATGATAAGTATAAATATTTTAGATATTGTATAAGGTCATCATATTATTCTTTAAGTTTGTAAATTATTTGTAAAGACATGGCGTAAACAGTCAACTTCCATGCAATGAATGACCATTGTAACAAGGCCCTACAAGTACCCTCAACCACAGCAAGACATGTACCTTTGCAATAATGGGTGTCATTCTTTTATGCGTAAGGAAACAAACACTTAATATTTGTTGTAAATTGTGTATGTCGCAGGCGCTACCGGTAGAGCAGGGTATGACACGAGCAGGATATGACACGGATTTACCCTTTTTACGAACACCTGGTGTCATCAATGATTTTCATTAATCCATTCATGTAATTATCTCCGCTATTTTGTCTTTAACACCCAATAGAAACTGTTTCGAAGGTTAATTGATACTGTTTATTCTCTGGTGTAGACGTTGTTTTTTTTTACACATAGATAAGAAATACAAAACTTTTTTCTTCGGTTGAACAAAGCAATTGAATGGCAAGTCGTCTAAGGTGCTGCGCATCTCTGTTCACAGTTGTGTCCCCAAGGTGTTCCAGAAACTTAACTAGATCGTGGGTTCGAATCGCAGTTTACTCGTTGATGCAATCCCATTTGTGTGGGTCGATGCTCATGATATCAATCACTGGATTGTCTTGTCCGGACTCGATTATTTACAGACCGCCGTCATATAATAGTAACTGGACTATTTTGCTGTGTGCGGCGTTAAACCAAATTAACAGAAACGTAATTATGTTTGTGAGACCCTCGCCCGTCCTTGCGGGTTTCACAAAGTATTGCATGGCTTTACTGTCAAATCAACCTCAGGAGACCCGTGAAGATCCGGGGTAGAATAGGCCTTCAGCAACCCATGTTTGCCTTAAAAGGCGACTATGCTTATCGTAAGAGGCGACTAACGGGATCGGGTGGTCAGGCTCGCTGACTTGGTTGATGCATGTCATCGATCCCAATTGCCTGGATCGATGTTCATGATGTCAATCACTGGATTGTCTGATCCCGACTCGATTTTTTACAGACCGCCATCATATAGCTAGAATATTGCTGAGTGCGGCGTTAAGCAAACAGACAAAACACAAGCCATGATATATGTGAAATCGGACCCTTTCTTCTGAAATAACACAATGTTCCAGATGGGAATCCTGACCACGTCTATGGCAACAGTGGATTTGAAGATGAAGAAAACATACGTCAAAAAAGAGGTACTTTGTCATCGGTTTAAAGCATAAGGAATCAGATAACGAAAGTTAAGCATGGCCCTCGTTCATCAGGCTTTCGGATTCATAAACACTTGCTCATGATATAATAGGGATCGTACAACGAACTATTTCAGCAGAGATTTCTTATGAATATGGAAAGGATTTGTCGCTTGTATTCATAAGTAATCCAGATGAAATTTCACAAGCATTTGATTTTGTGTTGACATTCCTTCCTTGATGAAATACACAAGGTAGACAACAGGCTGATGAAAGAACCAGCTTAAATTAGTATTCGAAATAATAAGGAGTTATATAGGACATGTGTATCGATTAATCCGTAGTTCGAGACAAGCAGTGTGCCTGTTTAAGACCCTAGTGACGATAAGGATTCATATTATGCCAGTAACATAGTACCTTAAAGTAGCTAGTGTTGGCGAGGTAGAACAGTATAAATTGAAAACTCTGTGTGTTGCTAGGAACTGCTTCGGGCACAAGCCACAGCAACATCCAGCTTGAAATGAGCGAAAACAAACGTCAAAAACGAGGTACGTCGACGCTGCTTGACAAACTACCCGTTTGATTGCAACCAAATTCGGACTGGCTTGGCATGGTTCATATGCATTCAATTTATACATACTTTTACTGATCATCCTACTCTGTCCAGGCAGAATGATATCACATTGTAACTCATCACCTTAGCTGCCTCGGGTCGTGAGTTATACTTTGCCCAAGTTATGTCCCTTGGTCCATAGTTTGTAAAACACAGTACTGTACATCATTGTAAGTTACTGGGCAGACAGAGTCATCGGCCCGTCGATTCGATTTCCACATATGCACCAGTTATCATCCTTGGCATCTCAACACCGTGTCATGGATCGTGGGCTTTATAAAGCAGTCAATGTCTACACTGATGTGAGGCTTCCCTCACACATTTAGCTGTTGTACTCTGATTGAACTGAAATACCTTGATCCATTGCTATCATCTCTGGCATCTCAGCACCGTGTCATGGATCGTGGGTTTTATAAGGCAGTCCACGTCCACACTGATGTGGGGCTTCCCTCACACATGCAGCTGTTGTACTCTGATTATACTGAAATACCTTGATCCATTGCTATCATCTCTGACATTTAAGCACCGTGTCATGGATCGTGGTTTTATAAAGCAATCTACGTCCACACTGATGTGGGGCTTCCCTCACACATTCAGCTGTTGTACTCTGATTGAACTGAAATACCTTGATCCATTGCTATCATCTCTGGCATCTCAGCACCGTGTCATGGATCGCTGGTATTATAAAGCAGTCCACGTCCACACTGATGTGGGGCTTCCCTCACACATTCAGCTGTTGTACTCTGATTGAACTGAAATACCTTGATCCATTGCTATCATCTCTGGCATCTCAGCACCGTGTCAGAGGAGACGTGAAATGGGGTCTACCGTCGCGTTTAAGATCATTGCAATTAAACGTGCGTTTGTTTTTTGCTGCTTGTACTTGTCAGGACTAATGCCGATTTAATATTGCTCGCCCACTGAGATACTATGACGCAGGTTACGTGAATATCCCACTCAGACACAGTATACTGACGCCGAGCCGACCAGTCCATGTTTTAGCCATTTAATGCCGAGTGCTGGGCAGGGCAACACAAAGTACCGTCGTTTAACGTCTTTTGGTATGACGCGACCGGATACACAACCACAACCTTCCGCCTTCCGGATGAACGCTGTACCACTAAACCACGGAGGTAGTCCCGTGTCAGGGATCATGGGTTTTATAAAGCAGTCCACGGCCACTCTCATGTGGGTCTGTCAGCACATATTCAGCTGGGGCACTCTGATTGAACTAAAATACCTTGATCCATTGTTCGCCTATCCACACACTCTTTACCAATATCCGTTTGGATTAATTGCTATAGGAGGAGAAACTGTTTGTTTGAAAATGTTTTCAATTCGCAACTACAGCGCAAAGAATTAATTATATTAGTCATTGGCAATTGCATAGTCCTGTTTCTCCGTCTTACAGCAACATTTCTTACATATCTTGTGTTTTCTTGTTTTACACACCAGGAAAGGAGAGGAAAGTGAGATCATCCAAAGGACAAGCGTACAATGATGGTAGGTGGTACACTTACACTTGCGCTTTGTACTTTAACAGCATCACAAATGCTAATAATACAATGTGTTAGTGTGATTGCTTAAGGCGCACATTTCAATATTCTAGCTATATGGCGGTGGCCAGTAAATAATCGAGTCTGGACTAGACAATTCAGCATTTGATATTGTGAGCAACGCTCCACGCTGTCGGTGTACGATGACACGGTATCAACCAATTAAGTCATCCAGTCTGACCATCCGATCTATTTGGTCGCCTCTTGGGACCCGCATGCTTTGTACGAGACCAATTCTAACCGGGAATCACATCGGTGTTGCAGTGTTCTAGATTCCTCATACCACCACTGGGAGTTTAAAGAAAAACACGCTTATTGCTTGAAAATGGATACCAGACCGAATTATATTGATAAATTTATAACGCGTCGTTTTTAACCATTACTTACTATGGTCTACGCTTGTCACAACATCAATAATTATTCATATACTATGTAACATATATTATCCATACTTTTCAAAGCAAGCGAATTAAGACAAACCCAGTCATTTCTCATTTGTAATTCTTGCTTCACACACGCAACAAAATTGGTGACGGAAAGCAAAGAACATTATTGACAATACCGTTGAAGTCACTATTTAGTTGCTTTTAAGACATAATAAAGTGTGCATAAAGTAGAAATGGCTACATTCTTGTGTGTCAGAAAGTTTGAAATTTCCCCTCAAGGGGGAGAAAAATACATATGAATTCTTACACAAGTGTAGTAACATCACTATGACCCACATAAATGACTTGCTATCTTTGTATAATAGTGTTTTTTGAGTGAATGAGTTGGGTTTTACGCCAGCAACATTGCACCAATATAATCGAACATTTTAACCAGTAAGCTAACCTACCGTTCCTGTGGTATTGTATGGTTGGTATGCAGTTATGATGATGGAAACACTCTGAACAGCAAACATTATCATCATTGACTCACATCTTTTCTTCCCCACAGAATCCGTCTATGAAAACACCACCTTCAGGAACCAGTTGCCCATGTAAATATGGGTGCTGATGTCATCACGTCACCTGAACACCTATCTGCATCTGCGATTAGTTTATTTACGATACATTAATGTTATTATATAGTTCCTTATTGTTAATGTTACCATAGTCAGATTTTGTTATTACACCCGTATATATCTATGTATATATAATTATGTATAACTCTACATGCCGACTCATTGTTTACCTGATGATGGGAGACCGCCTCCGTGGTCTTGTGGTAGAGCGTCCGCCCGGAGAGCGGAAGGTCCAGGGTTCGATCCCGGGCCGCGTCATACAAAAAGACGTTAAAAGATTGTACTTGTTGTTACCCTGTCTGGCGCTCGGCATTAAGGGGCTAAAACAAGGACTGGTCGGCTCGGAGTCAGTATACTGTGTCTGAGTGGGGTATTCATGTTAAACTGCGGCATGGTATCTCAGTGAGCTAGCACTATAAATCGGCATCAGTCCGGACTAGTACAAGCAGCCACGCACACACATACACGTGCATGCACGTCGCTATATAAGTGCAATAATCTTGGACGCGACGTTAAACCCAATTTCACCTCACCTCATTGTTCACCTGTTGATGGGGCAAGAAGTAGGCCTGAAACGTCGTTACACAGATTAAAATAAAGTGTTATCCACAAAGAAGTGTCACACATTCAGACAGACTGACAGACAGGCAGACAGTTTAGTCAGTATGCAAGGCCATATGGCCAATAGTACAGTTCAGTTTTGACAGATACATAAAAATCAACGTGATCTTGAACATAGCATAATTTGTTCCAAATACATGTTTCAAATACATTGATAAAATTGGGTCGAATTCGACAAATTGATCATTAATTGATTGTCTTTGTGTGTAATATCTAAATTAGATAGAAATATTAATCTCACCGTTTTATATTTTTCACATATAAAAAGAACATGAAACTCGTCTTCAATCTCCTGGTTGATACAGTTAGAACATCTACAGTTTACAAAATGACTATCCTTGGTTCTGCGATGTTGGTTGGTTGGTTGGTTTGTTATTTAACGCCGCACTCAGCAATATTCCAGCTATATGGCGGCGGTCTGTAAATAACCGAGTCTGGACCAGACAATCCAGTGATAATATCACGAGCATCGATCAACGCAATTGGGATCGATGACGTGCAACAACCAAGTCAGCGAGCCTGACCACCCGATCCCGTTAGTCGCCTTTTACGACAAGCAGAGTCACCTTTTACGGCAGGCATGGGTTGCTGAAGACCTATTCTACCACGGAATCTTCACGGTCTCTACGATGTTTATTGACAAGGCAGTTATGGAGAGATATTCTAAATTTACAAAGAGCTCTCAACAAAGTTTTATCTTGTAATATACTTAACTATTATTCTGGTTGTAACAATTATATGATACTAGAATAAAGCTTGAGAAAGTGTGAAAATATATCTGACAATTTTTGTTTAAATTTATGTAAAACAGTTTTTCATTACCAGTGTCTTGTGAGATCCTTACAAAGGAAAATCCAGTAAGAAATAATATGCTTCTTACACCAGACACCCAATTCGTTTTCCCTTCACGAACTTATTGCTTTAGCATTTTGTAACTTTGAAATGGGTACCTGTGAGCTTCCATTTTTGATATTTTTATCCAATATTTAACAACACGCATCTGGCTATGTACATACAAACTACAGCGACCAGTTTCACCACGTGCTGCCTTATTTGAAGCATATTTACCAGTGAATAGAAATTGCTTAAAATACAAAGTGTGGCATTTCTCAATGGATTCAAAATATTTAATGCCCCATATTTCCGAGCCGTATAACAAAATGGGTAGAAATTTACCATCAAATATTGAATTTGCTGTAAATTGTTGACAAAAGTCATCTGAAGTGTATTCTTTATCAATAGGTAGATAATCTATCTCATCATCTATCAAATAATCTAATTCCTGACCAGTCCTTGCATTAAAATCTACACATAGGATGAATTTACACAAGTCACAATAATCAAGGATAATATGTATTAACTGGCGTTCTAAGTTGTCTACACCACTGTCCTCCTCATTAGCATATACTGGAGAGTCCTCAGGGTGGATGTAAACAAACACCGGGAATGTCAGGAAGGGAGATAATTCAGCCTTCTTTCTGAAAACCAGAGCGTCGTCCCGAAGGGAGTAATCTCGTTCAAAATATTGTGACAAATGATTTTTAATACAAACGGAAATGCCACCTGAGAACCGACCACTGTTAACAGATCGCTGAGCCTTACATTCTAAAATGTTGTAATTACCGAAATTGTTGTGTAACATAGATATATCATCATCAGTCATAGTTTCCAAGAGACAAATTATATCAAAAGTTTTACAAAATGAAATTAAAATCAAAACATTCAGCTTTTGATCTCAAGCCGTGAATATTCCAAGTACAGATTCCAGTTGTGATGTCAACATCATCGGCTTGACCATTCCTGGCTGAAACACTTGGTTAAGATTGATAGTCTGCGTTCTGAGACTTGGCAGTACTGTCAAATCTGTTGCTGCTGCAACTATCACATTATTAACTGTACCTGTTGTATTGGTAACATTTGTAGCAATGTTTGTACACTTGTCTGAAGTACCAACTCAGCTGTGACCTATAAATGTAAAGCAAGCGTGTGTTTTTTTCTTATCATGGTGATGTTTACCAGTGGTACTCTGCTTATGACTGTAGCCATGGCCATACCCCTTGTCTCCCTCAGCTTGGGTATGACCACTCCCTGCTGAAGCTGTTTCTACGATAGGCTTTCTGCGTGACACCCAGTGACGTCTTTGTCCAACTTTACAGACACCCTCCTGTTCCTCATCCAACACAAACACAGAATCATCGATCACCAGCTTTTCATAACTGAGATAGGCAGTTTTACCATCGTCTCTGGTCGGCTTCATAAAGGGAAACAATTTCGATCACACATTTAGAACTCTCTGCGTAAAATCATCAGCTACTCTAAAGTCAGTATTTACTTTTAACTCTTTCCTTGCAACATCTAAAACCTCAGATTTATCCTTATAAAAAGAAAATCTCACTATAATTGGCCTGTTTGTTTACTTTGAGTGTAATCTGTGTGCTTTTTCAATGTTGATAGAATCAGCAGGGTCAAGATGGAGTGTTGAGGCCATAAATCTTTAACTGCCTTCTCACTCTCAACCAAAGTCTTACCTCTCTTGTCGGGTATGCCGTGCAAAATCAAATTATTTCGACGTGATTGGGCCTCTATATTATCTGTTTTGGTCTCCAAGTCAAACAGTTTCTTCTTGAGAAAGTCATTTTCTTTTTCCAAATGGCATAACCTTATATCATGGACCTGTATGAAATGGTCCAAAGTCTCACCTCTCTTGTCGGGTATGCCGTGTAAAATCAAATTATTTCGACGTGATTGGGCCTCTATATTATCTGTTTTGGTCTCCAATTCAAACACTTTCTTCTTGAGAAAGTCATTTTCTTTTTTCAAATGGCATAACCTTTCATCATGGACCTGTATGAAATGGTCTATTTTCTGATTGAGTCGAGCAATTTGTGACTGCATTGTTGTCAGTGTAATAGCAAGATCATTGACGGTAATGGATGCACTGTCAGAATTAGATGGGGTAATTACTTGACCAGTCACGTTGCGAGATGATAGTCTAGTCTGTGAACCTTCAGTTTGTTGTTTCGGGGAGCCGGGGTTCCACTCGACATCTCCGGCGACTAGTAAAAGGGTGATAGACAGAAACAATAGTCAAAATCTCAGCCGGGTACCCCCTGGAAGCTTTATACCGGGGTATCTAGCGCCGACTCGTCGACTTTGTGGACAAAAACGTCCTATTCTGACTCTCCATTGCCGTCAAATACTGTCAACGTATACGATGTACCGTCCACCTTCTACGCATACTGTCAACATATACGATGTACCATCGATCTGAAACACATACTGTCAACATATACGCTGTACCGTCATCCTTCGACATATACTGTCAGTATATACGATATGCAGTCCATCTTTTACACATCCTGTAAACCATTATGATATATCGTCCATCTTCTACACGTCCTGTCAACCAGCACTATATAAGTCCATCTTCCACACATCCTGTCAACCAGTACGATATACAGTACATACTACACATCCTGTCAACCAGTACAATATACAGTCAATACTACACATCCTGTCAACCAGTACAATATACAGTCCATCTTCTACACATCCTGTCAACCAGTACGATATACAGTCCATCTTCCACACATTCTGTCAACCAGTACGATATACAGTCCATACTACACATCCTGTCAACCAGTACGATATACAGTCAATACTACACATCCTGACAACCAGTACGATATGCAGTCAATACTACACATCCTGTCAACCAGTACGATATGCAGTCCATCTTCCACACAACCTGTCAACCAGTACGATATACAGTCAATACTACACATCCTTTCAACCAGTATGATATATAGTCAATCTTCTACACATCCTGTCAACCAGTACGATATGCAGTCCATCTTCCACACAACCTGTCAACCAGTACGATATACAGTCAATACTACACATCCTTTCAACCAGTATGATATATAGTCAATCTTCTACACATCCTGTCAACCAGTACGATATGCAGTCCATCTTGTACACATCCTGTCAACCAGTACGATATATAGTCCATCTTCTACACATCCTGTCAACCAGTATGATATGCAGTCAATCTTCTACACATCCGTTCAACCAGTATGATATATAGTCAATGTTCTACACATCCTGTCAACCAGTACGATATGCAGTCCATCTGTTACACATCCTGTAAAACCAATACGATATACAGTCCATCTTCTACACATCCTGTCAACCAGTACGATATACAGTCCATCTTCTACACATCCTGTCAACCAGTACGATATACAGTACATCTTCTACACAACCTGTCAACCAGTACGAGATGCAGTTCATATCCTTTGTATTGTCAATATATTTTCGTCTAAGGCGCAGCGATTCGCTGTACAGAGTTGCGTCCCTTGGGTCCGCCAGAAAACCTATGATTGTTGGTTCGAATCCCAGTTAGTCCCGATTATGTTTCCAGGTTTGTCAGCACTATACCCGTGCTCTTGAGTTTCAGTAGTATTCATATTCAAATATTTCCTGCTCGCATCCTGATTGAACAAAAATAATGCCATCCAAAGGAGAAACATACATGCCAAAGTTCAGATTCCTCAGTCAAGGGAGAACCTTTCAGCGCCACAAAAGAACATGATAACAACAAAGTCAAAACAAGATCAACATTAAACTGAATGCGAATACAATAGCATACATGTATATGTTTTGAGCCGTAAATATTTTGTCCTATATGGCCCTGTATTCCGGGTGAGATTCTGTATTTAAATCAACTGTGGGCATCGTCTGCGGTGAGGTGAAATGTGATTTAACGTCGCGTCCGAGATTATTGCACTTATATAGCGACGTGCATGTACATGTGTATGTGTGTGTGGCTGCTTGTACTAGTCCGGACTGATGCCGATTTATAGTGCTCACTGAGATACCATGCCGCAGTTGAACATGAATACACCACTCAGACACAGTATACTGACTCTTAGCCGACCAGTCCTTGTTTTAGACCCTTAATGCCGCGCTAGACAAGGTAACAGCAAGTACAATCTTTTAACGTCTTTTGGTATGACGCGGCCGGGGATCAAACCCCGGACATTCCTCTCTCCGGGCGGACGCTCTACCACTAGTCTACGGAGGCGGTATGGGCATCGTCCAAACGCAAGCCACAAATTCAGTTCAAAATTGAAATATACTTTTCAAAAATACAGTGGGAATCGCCAAAACATATCTTCTGATCTATATGATATTGCCAAATGCAAATTATATGCTCATATCTGCTGGGACGTAGGCGACCCGGGTTCTAATGGTTGGTGTGACGAGATGGTTGCACACCAGGACGTTAAAGAATTTGGGGTTCCAATTCGAAATTTGTATTTTGCAGCCAACGTCTCTAATATCGGGTAAAACCACCTCTGTTGGCCAGACATGCACTAATTCTTCGAGACGTGGATGAGTCCATCAATGTCAGCTGGTCTCACCAGTGAATTCATTGAGAGTGGTGTGTGTATTTAGACGTTGACGTTGACGTTTGCCAATAACGTCACATACTTGTTCAATGGGGTAAAGGTCAGGACTGAGCGGATGATTTGCTGCTTTCCTGGCACGATAGGCACGTACATTATCGTCTGAAAAGATGACACGTTGCCCAACACGTTGTGCAAATGGCACCATGAGCGTTGCAGGGAGGATAGTATTGACCTGCATGCGAGTCTGCCATGGACATTATGAAGCGCAGTTTTGCCAGTCTTTGTGATTGAATCCCATACCATTATGGCCCCACCCCCAAACGATCATGACGTAGGACGTTAACGTCCATAAAACACTCATAAGGTCGTTTCCTAACTCGTTTCCCTCGGTCATGGAAGTGGAGCGTGAACCTTGATTCGTCAGAAAACATGGCGCGCAGTAGCGTTCTCTATACCACTGACATCTCTGATTCAACTGACGTAAGCAAGTTGTGGTGTAACACGTCGACGTCGTGCACGCAAATGGCATCTGTGCAGACGATTTTGCATGTACCCTTACACAAGTTGCCCCTTTGCATCCGGTACCTCATCTGAGTGGCAGTTAGCAATCGATTTCTTTATGCCATCGTTTAAACTAATCTGTCCTGTGGCCCTTGTGCGTCCAGAGTGGCGTATTGATCATCGACGTTATATGCATGTTTGGCAACAGATTGAGAATTGAGAAACATGCAGCGTTTGGGGAACAATATTCTGATGTGTTCCCACATGCAACATGCCAATGACGTAACCGTTTAGCACGTGTGCAAAAGTCGAACGATCAATGCTTTTGCTTCCTTAACGATTAAATGTGCTCAATAAAGTGTCTTTGAGCGTTTGGTTCTAAGAAAACAATCTGCGTCTTCTTACAATAGAGTCCGGGTGACAATGGTAAATCAGTAGCATACCACCCTCTGTACGTGCTGTCCGAGGTCACGTCTTTCATGGCTGTCACATTGGTGTGTTCGGGAGCGTGATCACTTCTGAAATGTTCTTGGCACATTGGCGCCTACTTTGATGTATTTTCCTGTAGGTTCACCTCAAAATGAAATATTCCCAACTTTTCTTGCATAGTATATCACAAAAACGGAATATAGTTTTGTCACGTCAATGTGACCCTGCTCGCAGCTCAAGTTTCCATTATGAGAGTTCAATGCTGATCGCAAGATCAAACTGTTATAAACAAGGCTTATATGAAATGTCATGAAGATTTTAACCACGACATTGAAGAATGCTTGATTCCGATTGGTTGCCCAAATCCCATTAGAACTTGGCGTCCAGGACTGCATACCGTATTTCCTCTATGAGACGCCTCATTTATAATAAACGCCGCGTCTACGTCTCGCGCGAAATAAATAGACGTCTGGGCGTCTAATGGAGGAAATACGGTACGTTTGATATCGAATGATTAGAATTACGATATTTACGTCATAGGCCGTAACCCTGACTGGTTTAATGATGGGATTACAAAACCTAACGTTCATAAAACCCTTCGGTAATTTCCTCATTCACACGAACGTTATAACAAGTAAAATGAAACCTAACAAAAAGTGTAGTGTGGACGACAAATGAAAGTATACTGTGAATGACATATAACAGTTAAGATCTGATACAATTTGTACACAGTTAACTGATGATATTTGTCTTCAGGCACCCAGTGACATGCCTGACACTGCTGAAGATTATTACCACCTTCTTTTACAATTATTTAGTCAGTGTACATATTATTTTGACAAATTTATGTTGAAATTATTTTTATATTTTTCAGGTCCCACAATGATATGGAAGAGTATAAATGCGACAAAACCCTTTCCATATTCACATGAAATCTCTGTAAAAAACAGTTGATGGTACGATTCTGACTCAATCATGAGCACGTGTTAATGAATCGCTATCAAATAGTGATGATACCAGGTGTTCGCGAAAGGTGAGAGTATCCTGCCCCACCGGTGTCACAAGAAATCCCTGGTGTTGAGATCCATTTTCATTGAGTGCAAATTGTGTTTATTTTCATGCAGAGTTAAAAGTCATAAAATATTAGAGTGTCTTGTGAGGTACAGTGCTTCAGACAACAAGAGAGCTGTACTTTTGAAATAGTCAACCAGTGCACTAACAAGTTGCCACTGAGCATTTAGCCAGTGCTTGTGATATTTTGTTCAGTCTTTTCCCCCGGCCTTCGCCCTTGCCCAAAACTACCTGATCCAGCATCAGCCATCGTGTATTACAGAAACTTATGAAATGAAACAGCAAAGGCTGATTGTTGTCAGAGACCATAAAACAAGATTTCAATGAAAAAAGTTTATTTTAATGAGCATAGAGAAAAACATTACATACATCAGATGGAAATCTTTCATGAATCACCTCGACAACACAAGATGGAATAACTTTTCTCTGATTCTTCAACTATTTCTGCAAATCCCCAAAGTGAACCTCTTGTTTATGAGGTGTATATAGATTCTGAAATGAAAAAGTGTCTTTTATTAGTCAAGCGATGCACAACATTACAAAAAAATATCATACCATTTACATATATATTTTTGTCATTAAATCTTGAGGGATGCTTATATAAGAAGTAATTTGTTTTGATGATATATGCAAAAAATTTATTACATGTTAATAATTCAATAAATACCAAAACAGTTTATAGTTCTATCATGTTGACATGATGTGTTTATTACTGTAGGTTTGAATACTTCTTGAAATATTGTGGGCATGTTTCAATATCACTGATGTAATTTAATAACCTTACAAGTTACATATGCTTTCACAACTTGCTGGCAAATAAACATTTATGGTACTCAAATCTCTTATTTTACTTGTCAGATTTGTTTGTTGTGCATGATAGATCTTAAAATGCATAATAAAATAAATTGATGAAAGTAAATCATATTATATGTTTTCTAAACTTTATTTCAAGTTTTAATAAAAAAAAGAATGGTGGGGTAGCCTTGTGGTGAAACCGTTCGATCGTCACACTGAAGACCCAAGTTCGATTCCCCACATGGGCACAACATGTGAAGCCCTTTTCTGGTGTCCCCCAGTTGTGATATTTCTGTAATATTGCTAAAAGCGGGGTAAAACCCTACTCACTCACTCATATAAAAAAATGATTGCATATTTCACTTGCATTTTAGGGGGTGGTTGTTACAGACGTTTTGCTCAAAAGGTCAGGTTGGGAGGTCCAAATTTCCAAACAAAGATTTACAATTTCAAATATTTTTCACTAATATTCAACAAGTTTTACTTATAGTTTCTTAGATAATTTATATGTATTGATTGTGACAGTAAATGAACTTTTTGTGAACATTTTACATATAGCTGGTCCACTCAGTTAAACAACCCACTGTTTTTAATAATTAATTATATATTAGATATATATATATATATCTTCTTTTTTATAGTTTCTAAACATTTTTGTTTTAAATCTGGCCCCATAATAGATGATAAATAGTTTCCCTGCAAAGTTGCAATGCATTTTCTATGAATGGTTGTCAGAACAAACCAATAACCAATTATCTATTAAATAGAATAAGATACTGTAGGCCTACTGCAGTAACTGGTTTCAAACACTAAACAAATCAATTGAGTGATCTATCGTTTCACTTTCAAATGGGGACGGTGTGAAATGTGAAGTACGACATCCAATTACTTATCAATAAATATGGCAGGTATTTTGAACTCGGATGGGAAAAAATCAAAGAGAATCTTTTTTTCCCCCAGTACGTTTCCACTCGGCAACCGACTTTAGAAACGTACTGGGACGTACCCCATTTTCGTGTTACTCTAAGCATATGGTCTCGTCATCAGCTGGTAGGCCTAATGTGTAATCTTGTTGAGACAATGTTTGGCGACAGATCGTATTTGTTTCTTGATATTGGCAAGTAGCATTGATCTGTAGCCTATAGGTGGTGGGAATAGTTACACCTAATACAGACAAACTCAGATTGACGACAATGCCGATACCGGCGATAGGGTCGTAACAGGGTGGGACAGGATGAATAGGCCTGCTGACGAAGCATGCGGGTCACCAGGCGTGACAAAAATCTCATAGAATATTACGTTTTTTCCGCTTCTGAAAACGTAATAATGAGCATATAGGTAATTTAGGTATACACACATCAAAGTGTTATTCTTACCACGTTGTCACTGGTAGGCCTACTTGTGTAGATGTCGAGTCGGGGTCGGGTGACAAATTAGGTGATGTGGGTCTTCTCTTGTTTCCACTTGATTTTCATCGTTTCCATACCTCGAAGCTTGCTCGTTTTGGTTCAAAATCGTATGGTTTTGCGATTTCTTGAAGGGTCAAGGGAACTTCTTCGGACCAGGCAAGGTATCGCATGCCATGTTGTCTCACCATAAACTGGTACTTGATATCTTTTGCGTTGTGACAAGACCGGGACCAAGTTAAATTGGCACCAATTACTACATAATCTAAGGGGGATAACTCAGGCCTGTTTAGCTCGGAAAACGAAGGCCTCATAACGGCATGACATTTTCACACTTATTGTGAGCTCGCTACATTGACTGTGAGGAAAATGAGTGTATATTTTCAAACACTGACACTAACTAATTCTAAAATCCCTTTTTTTTGAAAATAAGAAAGAAAATGATTTTTGCGTGTACACTTCCCCTTTAAAGACCTTTATTCATGATATCATGTTGTTTACAAACCGTTTTGTGATCGATAGAATGTGTCCCCAGCACCCTGCTGGTCGTAAGAGGCGGCCGAATATTTGCCGTGGGTTGCGCCCTGTGTCGGTTGAGGGCGGGGTTCTGGTGGTTGAGAGCAGTGGAGCCAGGAACAGGTGTTCCCTTTGCCCAACACACCGCTGAGACCTTTACTAGTGGTAGAATGAGCCCGGTTCTATTAATCGGGTGGTCATGCATCGCCCTTTGCAAGGAAAGAGGAGTGAGTGAATGAGTGAGTTGGGTTTAACCCCGTTTTTAACAGTATTCCAGTTATACCACAGCGTGTCAGCTTAATGTGGGAGGAAAGCCCGAAGTGATGCAGGTCTCAGACGTTTACCACTTTGGTGAAACCCACGAGCACTGGTATGGTGCTGACAAACCTAGAAACATAATCGGGGCGAACCGGGATTCGAACCCACAATCATAGGTTTCTGCCGTTCCGAAGGGACGCAGCTCTGCACAGCGAATCGCGGCGCCTTAGACGACTGGGCCACCCGTGTCCCCTCAAGGAAAGAGGAAGTTCTGACAAATATATTATAAGTATAATATCACACATAACATTATATTATGAATGGTGCACCCATAAAGTATGCCTAGAGTCCTGTGCCAGAAGGCGGTGGCTCATGGGCCAATCTGGCTTTATTAATCTCCAGGTTCTGTTTGTTATCAATTTATAGTCGAGGGCCGAACCAGCCTGACTTTAGACTGTTTCTCATATATAGCTACCTGTGTTGATATTGTATCGGATTCCTGTAGCCCTGGTGTCGCAGACTGGTTTCCTCTGCGAAACGTCCTTGTAGACACTTCATGACGGGTGGGGAGAAAGGTGTCAAATCATAAAATAACACCATGTCTCAAAACAAATCATCTGGTTCTTTCAAAACAAGCAAACGTCGCCAGGGTCCTACTATTTAATATCCGCGGGCGTCATGTGGCGTCCGGAAACGTCCGGGAGTTTAATAATACAGTGCAGTCAATAAAACATGTTTTTCTCAGTTTGGTAAGATGGTGAGAATATCAACTGGCGTACAAATAAAAAGAATACACAGAAATCAAAAATGAGTACAAGTAACAAGGTAAAAAATATTTAATTGGCCATGAAGGTTTTTTTTTTATCCTACAAAGTGGATGTAATGGTAATAACGGACAAATGTTTGAAAAATGTTTGTTTGTATGTTGTTTAACGCCACACTCAGCAATATTCCAGCTATATGACGGCGGTCTGTAAATAATCGAGTCTGGGCCAGACAATCCACATTATGTGAAAAACGGATATTTTTTAAATTTCCTTATGTCCGGTGGTTGTTGATCTCTCCACCCGTGACCTATGTCGGGATGCGGATTGTCGAGTTATAATTACCGATTTTGGGGCTTGGGTACATAGTTATTACCGGACAGGGTAGTTTGCGTCAGTTCATGTAAGTAGCTCATTTCCTTGTGTTCCTGCTGCAATATTATTTGCCATTCGATACGGACGGAGAGTGATGCTTGTCACGTATCGGTGAACAAAGAAATACATTCAGTCTACATCAATGACACTATGGGTTTAATGTATGATCATGAAATAATTACATATAGAACATCACTCAGTCATATAACATTGTTTAAAATAACATGAACATGAAATGAAAAATTCAACTTTGTTTAACTTTACAACTTGATGAGATAAACATGTCATCTGACAAGCGAAGACACCTAACTCGTGAGACATAACATGAGGATCATCATGCGAGTATGCTTAGATCTGAGATATATCTTTGACATTCAAAATGCGAGTTAAAGCACATATTTCAAGTGTCAGTTTTCTCAATATCCCACACGTTAGTGCACATATTGAAAATGTGTTTACACAACGGAACAGCTCCCAAACAGAGACTAAAAGCCGGAAACTAAAGACGTATGCCATCAGCACTTATGAAACCCAATATAGAGTCTTTAATTGAAAACAGGAAAATGTCAATTTTTTAAGAATTGATCGGTTGTGAACCGTCTCTTGGTCTTTCTGCATTTAAAACGTTATGAAGAGAATATGTCAACAAAGATTGTAGTTTTTAAACATGGAAGCATTATGATGGACTGAAAGGGATTGTTTATATCAATATTAAGTTGGTGAAAATATAAACACTGCCAAAAGGCCAAGATAGTTTATATCGATTCCCGTAAATGTTCTCTTAAATGTAAGTTAATGGAATGTAAGAGACAAGACTTAAGCTTCACTGTGCGGTTAGCCTCTGCAGAGAGCATGTCATGCTTTGTGGTGTGGTGCGTGATCCTTTGTACATCATTTCTAGTTGATGTGAATGCAACAGATGAACACCCCCAATGCGAAGCTCATGAATATCGCCGGATCAAATTGTTCAAAGATCACATTGCTACAGCTCAACCGATATGGGAAAGAGAGGAATTCTTTGCTGTCAAATGCGCCGAAATGTGCTCAAAAGATGAACATTGCATGTCCTTTTTCCACAACTCATTCACCGGATCCTGCCAAGCTCAAAACTTGTCATTCTCAAATCAATACCGGATGAGTCCCAGCGATGGATTCCAATACTACAGATTTTATCCCAAGGGCTTTCGTAAGTAAATATATTTATATACAGTGAAACTTCGTGATTCCGGCAGATTAATAGAGAGAGTGTCTATTTCAAAGATGTGGACTTTTTTGGCCTACTGGTAATGTCAAAGTATGACGATTTTGTGGAAAAGTTTGAATTAATGGTATGATTGTTGTTGTTGGTTTATTGTTAAACGCCGCACTCAGCAATATTTCAGCTATACGACGGCGGTCTGTAGATAATCGAGTCTGGACCAGACAATCCAGTGATCGATATCATGAGCATCGATCCACGCAATTGGGATCGATGACATGCATCAACCAAGTCAGCGAGCCTGACCACCCGATCCCGTTAGTCGCCTCTTACGACAAGCATAGTAGCCTTTTACGGCAAGCATGGGGTTGCTGAAGACATATTCTACCCCGGAATCTTCACGGGTCTAATGGTATGAAAAATATCAGACACGTTCATGTCACTGATAAGTACCCAGCTGTCTATGTTGCACTTGCAAATATAAAACCCCAATGCAAGAGAATAGCCAGTCTTTATAGTCCGCCAAAACAGATTTCTTTTGGTGTAAATGTCAAAATATACTAGCCACATAAAGAAACTGTGCACGGAGAAAATTTATTCCGGATTGAAATACAACACAGCAAGAACAAAATGATGCAGACGCTGTAGCAGCTGAATGATCGATCCGTAAGAAAATGTCCACGGGACCTGAACAACATCTGTTACGATGACGTCAGAAGATCAAAATGGAGTAGGGGGTCAAACGACAAAGTCACAAAGTCAATAACGGGTATGACCACCCTGTGCGTGAATCACAACAGTGCATCGGCGACGCATGGAGTCCACCAAATGGGCATGGAAGGCCTGGGGAATGGCCTGCCATATCCTCCTCAAATCCAAGTCACGGACGTTATCTGGAGGATGTGGAAGACGACGTAGACGGCGCTCTATTTCATCCCACACATGCTCCATTGGGGAGAGATCTGGAGAATTGGCAGGCCATGGCAGTAACATGACATTGTTATGGTGAAGAAAATCCATTGCGACCCTAGCCGTGTGAGGACGAGCGTTGTCCTGTTGAAATGTCAATCCCGGGCCATGACGTTGCAGGAAAGGAATGACCACAGGCCTCAGAATCTGATCTCTGTAGCCAACACCGGTGAGATTGCCCTGAACAACCACCAAAGGGGTTCGGTGCCGTGCTGTTATCCCACCCCAAATCATCACAGAGCCACCTCCAAAACGATTCCTCTCATCAATACAGTTGCGTACATAACGTTCTCCCAAACGCCGGTAGACACGTTGGCGCCCGTCACTGTGGGAAATGTTGAACCTCGATTCATCTGTAAAGACAACATTTCTCCACCTGATTTCGACACCATCTCAGACGGTTGACTCGATGACGGTGTGTCAGGATGGGACGTATGGCAGGGCGTCGTGGTCGAATCCCGTACTGACGTAAGCGATTCCTGACAGTGACGGGATGGATACGGCGCAGTCCAGGAATTGTCTGGGACGTCGTTACTGCCGTTTGGAGCCTGTGTCGGAGATGTGTAACTCGAATCCATCCGTCCTGTCCTGGCGTCGTTACTCGGGGACGTCCTGAACGTGGGTGGTCGGCAACGTCATTTGTGTTCTGATAACGCCTCACCAATGCCGATATCGTGTTACGATGGCATTGGAAATGTGTTGCCACCTGTTGTTGCCTCATTCCCGCTCGGATCATTCCAATGGCTTCATGACGCTGTGCAGCTGTCAATCTTGGCATGATTTACTTGTGATATGCTTGTGTCTGCGCCTGAATTTTTGAATGACCACAGATCATGCTTTCCAAAGTGACAGCGAATTTTGAGTTGCACATGCTGTGTACAGCTGCACAGGATGCACGTGAAGTAACACATTGCACGTTCATGGGCCCCCATCAATGACGTCATATCCCATGGCACGTGCATGAGCGTTTGAATGTCTCCAATATTTGCTGTGTTCAAACCTATATTTCATATATGGACGGTGTGCCCTTATATCTATATTTTTTCCGTGCACAGTTTCTTTATGTGGCTAGTATAGCAGTGAAATGGTTAAGATGGGTGAAAAAAGACAACTTTTCGAAAATCAAATCTCGAAGATT